TGTCTGTGACTCTGAGCAACCACCTGCCCCTCTGAGCCTCAGTTTCCCCATCTGAAGTCGCAGAGTGGACTGGGTAGAGGATCCTTGGTGTGTCCCTCCCAGGGAGCTCCAGGACCCTGTGGTGGGGTCAGGCCTGGACTTGTCTCTCCTCCCCGGCCTGCCTGTGCCCAGTCCCCCAGAACAGCCCTCTGCCCCGTGACCTCCCATCCACGGGGTCAGGGTGGCTTTGCGGCGCCACCTTCAGGCCTGAAGAGACTGCAAGGACCTCCTGGAGCCAGGACTCATGCCGGGGTTTGGCTGGAACTTCACACGAAGCAGCACTGTTTTGTCCCATGTCCCTGCCCATGGGTGGCCCGGCGCCCCACCCCTGCGCCCTGTAGATGTTCCCCCTCCTCCCTTCCCCTCCCTTTCCCTGTAAGGCTCCCCTCCGGCCCATCCCTTCTTCCCACTTGTCCTCCGATGGCCACTCCAAGCCCTGGCCCCTCCTGCCCCCTCCTGGAGGCCCCCAGGCCCTCCGCCCAGAGCTCTGGGTCCTCCAGGTGAGTCTGAGGTTGGGCTTTTAGTCTCCAGTTGGTGGTGAGGGGCAGGGAGGGGTGGCCTTGGGCTGGTGAGTCGTTTCCCGCCTCACTGCCCTGCCCAGGCCCTAGGGTAGCCCTAAGCTTAGGGACTTGACCTTCAGGCCTGGTCTGGCACCTCCTGCAGTGGTGGTGGAGGGAGCCCTTCCACCGGCCTCAAGGCCAAGGGTCTTCACACTGAACCTCCCAGGGAGAGAGCCAGGCCCCCTCTGGGGTGGGGTGTGGAGAGGCTGGGGCCGGACCTGTTGTGGCCTGGTGGGCATCTCACGTAGGCAGGTGTGACCCCAGGGACTGGGGTTCAGCCACCGTGGGCAGATGACAAGAGGGGGTCCCCTGTGGACTGTGGGCACAGGTCTGGGAGGCTACTGGCCGCCTGGGCAGGGCCCCTCCTCCCCTTGGGAGAACGGGGACAGCGCTGGGACGGGCCCAGGCAGGTCTCACCCGAGAGCCGCATGGCCTGTGCTGACCCAAGGTGGGAACACCGAGGCCCAGAGACGTGGCTTCCTGCCCGCGGTCTCATCCTGGGGGCGTTGCTGGCACCTCCGCCCCCCACCATCGACCCCGGTACTGCTCTGTTTTCTTGGGGCCTTGGGAAGCTAGAGGGCTGGGGGGTCGGGGGGCAACTGCTTCGCCCGGACCAGAGGGCCCGCCCTGCCTCGCCTCGCCTCGCCTCCCTGCTGACCGTCTGCATCCTGGGAGCGCAGAGGCCATACACGTAACACCCAGGAAGCACCGGGCCTGGGTGACTCAGGCCCTGACCTGTGTCCCTTTGTCCCTCTCCTGCTGGGGAGTGTGAGCTGGGTTCCAGTTGGTCTGCACCTACGGTGGTTGGGGCCCTTGGCCTGAGGCCCTAGTGCCTTGTGTCTGGAGCAGGACGCTCCCTGCCCAGGACTGGGCGCTGGTCGCTGTCCTCCCCCTGCCCCTGCCCCTCCACTGACGTCCAGGGCCTGGCTCTCTTGCTTCCCCTCAAACTGCCCACCAACGTGGCCTCTAGCATGGCCGGCTCAGAGAAAACCAGCCGCCATCTGTCCCCAGGCCTGCCGGCGACTCGCCCCCTCCCCCTCCCCCTCCCCTGATGCCCTGTGCGCCCTCAGTGCCGTGTCCTCTTCGCCTCTAGCATGGCCGGCTCAGAGAAAACCAGCCGCTATCTGTCCCCAGGCCTGCCGGTGACTCGCCCCCTCCCCCTCCCCTGATGCCCTGTGCGTCCTCTTCCTACCCTACTGCGTGACAAGACCCGGAGATGGGGACAGAGGCTTCGAGGAACGCATCGTCAAGAACGAGGACGTGGCATGTGTTTAGGAATAATTGGTTTCTTAGAAACGATCCTATTAATAGGGAGAATTTGGGTAGCACAAATTCTAGTAAGTGTAAACGCTGTACAAATGGATTTCCTCAAAATTGGCTCTGAGGAAAACATAGTAAATTCCCCGCGTATGGAATCAGCTCTAGTCACCCTGATGTGTCCAGAATGCGTAAACCCTTTATTTGAACAATTATTAAGGGAAATTTCTTAAAGATATTATGAATAAATTATAACAAGCTGAATTACTGGAACCAGTTTATACTCCTCTTCCCACGCAGTTAGTAGAAAAATTAGTAAAGGATAAGAAATTTACTCATAAGCCTGTGCCTACCATGGAAGGGCCTCCTTTTGTGGCCTAGTGGATAAATAGAAACCTCTGGTATCCACCTAGGGGGGCTAATAGTATGAAAAGATTACCTGATCTTCCTTTGCCTTATACAGGAGCTTATAATGAAGATAGGATACGTATAGTGAATAAAGATAGAATTCATGTGCCTTATAGTAGTTTACGTTTCATAGAAAGGCTGGCTAGGTCAGGATCTCCTTGGTGTTTAAAAAACAAAGGAACAGAAACTTAGCTTATGAAAGCAGCTTTGTAAAACTGATTTTTATAAATATTTTCCTCATTACTGCACCAAGGAAACTTTTGAACAGCTATGAGAAAGGTTCAGCTTGAACTTTAGATATTGCATAAATCAAATAGCATTTAAAAGATTTCTTCAGGCAGAAAGAAGAACAATGTCTGCCCACAAGCCAATGCTTGCTGTTATGAATACATCTATCTATCGCCTTTACTTAAATCAAACTGTATCTTACGTAATAGATATAAGAATTAAAAGTTTAGATTGTTCCATCAGGTAGTTTTGTTCTAATGATTGAGAGAAAAATGTACTAGTTAATCATGAACATTAATAATAATATACTCTATAAGATTTTCTGCTTCGCCTGACCACAGAAATTTAACTCCCTGCCACCTTAACCACAAAGTATAATCAAATGCCAAAATAGAAAGGATAACAGTTGTACTCAAATCACAATAAAACGGAACAGTGTCACACCGCCTCTGAGTCATGTAGTCGACTGTCTCCCGCGCCAACGCCTTGCCCACCTTCGGGGCCCCCCGGATCCTGTCGTGGCTGGACCGCACCACCTCAGTCTCTCTTGGCTCCTCGGGCGTGGCCGTGACGCTGCCTCCAGGAAGCCCTCTGCTCTGTCTCTCTCTAGGGAAGTTTGCACTCAGGGTTGCAAACTTCTCTTCTCTCCCAGGGTGGTGCTTGTCATCCTATTCTCGTCTCTTGCTGGACCTGTCTTGCATCCCTGATCTTGGCATGGTCACTCTGGTGTCCAGGTCTCTACCTGCAGCTCTTGCTGCTCCTGACACTGCCCCACCCTGCCAAACAGCGTGTCCAGGCAGGGCCCTCCATGCCAGTGCTGTGGTACTTGTGTGGTGAGCTGACCCCAGGCCCGGTCAGCTCTGGGGCGTGTAGAGGGGCCGTAAGGTGTCATCTGTGTCAGATAATCCCCACCTGGACGTTCCTGGCTGGATAGTAGTCCCTGGTGTCAGGAGGCTCAGCCCTGAGGCACCAAACAGGCCCGCTCTGTCCAGGGGGGCCAGGGGGCACTGGGGAGCAGGGGGCCAGTGCGGCAGTGGGCAGGGGCAAACCAGCCTTAGGGCAGCCGAGTCCCTCCCAAGCACCCCCTTAACTGAGGCCACAGCCTGGAGGGGCCCAGGGCTGGCTGCTGAGAGGCCATCCTGGGGAAGGTGAGTGGGGGTGGGTTCGTCTCGTGAGGTCGTTGCACCTGTCACAGGCCTGCTCCAAATGACACTGCCCATGAGCCTAGCCGTCAGGAGCACAGGGCAGTCCCACTGGGTCCCCAGCGGCCCCAGGTGGGTTGAACAACCTCGCTCACAAGGGAGGCTCTGAGGTGGGGGCTGCGAGCATGGCCTCAGGTGCAGCTCATTCCACAGGTGAGCACTAAGGCCCAGGTGTGGGTCTCAGCGGCCCTGAGGTGTGGGCAGGACAGCTAGCTTCTTGGTGACACAGAAAGGTGATGGTAGGTGGTCAACCCCACCTCGGATGACAGGGAGATGTGAAGACATGTTGTCTGTAGGTCTTGGGCTGACCTGTGAACTGCTCAATCTAAGACGCTCTCTGAGGCCCACCGTGAAGCATGAACGTGAAACCAGTCACCAAGGCTCTCCTGCTCTACCTTCACGGCTCAGAGGCGGCTGTGACTTCCCAGGACTCACAGGAAGTGCAGGTACCTTTTGTGTGGTCAGTACAGCTGTCCATTTTGTAGGCAATGTGTCTACAAGATAACAAACGTGCTCTAAAAAAATTAAAGAGGATAATTGTTTTCAGCCCTGAGCCTGAACGTGAAAAGCGCAGACCCGTCTGAGGAGCTCCACAGCTGTCGCCACCTCCGCCCACCTGATCACACACCCAGGCCGCCAGGGCCAGCTCTGGGCTGTGACCTCCAGGCCGCCCCCGCCCCGGCGCTCTCTGCCCTGGCCTCCCCACCTCAGGGTGCACTTGCTTTGGTGGAGACACCTTGGGCACAGAGCACCTGAGGCCATGGGCGGCCCCTCTAGAAATTGGGACCCACGCCGGGACACATCGCCACCAAGTGGCGCCTACGCATCCTGCCCCGCCACACTCCCCGGCACCACCGGAGATCCTTCGGGCCCTCCCGTCGGAGCCGGGATGAGGACAGGAGTCACGTGGGGAGGTGGGGTGGGGACAGGAGGGGACGTGGCAGGCACCTCCCTTCCGGTAGCGAGAAGGAAACGGGCTGCGCCGCTGCAGCGTCTGGTGGGGAGGGGAGCAGGGCCCGGGCCGGGCCGGGGTCCTGGGGAGTCCGAGGCTCCTCCGCGGGTCCCTGGCTGACGACCCCGCCCTGTCTGCGCCCCTCCCGTGCCTGGGTCCCAGGGGCTCAGAAAGCCGAGTCGCTCGCCCGGGTGTCCCCACGCCCGGACTTCGTTGCGGGCCTTGGGCCGCGGCGGGAGAAGGTGTCAGGGGGGAGGGAGGAGAGGGCCGCGGGCGCGTGGAAGGAGCTGCCAAATGGGTCGCCCAGACCGGGGGCGGGCGGAGGGGTGGGGCGCGGGGCAGGGACAGGGCGACCCCTCCCTCCCTCCCTCCCTTCCGTCGCGCTGGCGCCCGGGGGCAGGCAGGCCACACCCCGTCCCTCCTCCCGCCTGGACGTCCCCAAACGAGGGCTTGGTGGCCTCTGGCTCTGGCTCTGGAGCAGCCTGTACCGAGCGAGGCGCTTAGTTCTTGTTGAATAAACTGATCGATCGAACAAAGGAAGTAACAGCCACCTCAGGCTGTGCCACCGAGTCGTGGATTTCAACTGGAAAGGTGGCTGCCCCTCCCCTGCCAAGCTCCGCTGTCTCCTCCTGCAGCCTTCAGTCTGAGGCATACCAGAACTTTCCAAGGCCTGGCAGGTACACGCAGCCCAGCCATCGGCTTCTGGTGTCTGGGCTCCCAGGCTGTCTCTGCGGAGAAAACCCCCCCGGGACAGGTGTCCCGCTGGTTCTCGCATCCTCCCACCATGGGGACCCAGGCGACACCATGGCCAAGGCCACTGCTCCAAGTGACTTCTGTCTTCTCCTTTACTCGTGTTTCACTCAAAGCAAACTTAGTAGAAACTGGACGTTTTGATGCAGTCGAGATGCCCTGAGCGCATACACGTGCGTAGTGGCAAGATGACAACTTTCTCGCCAGACTTTGTCGGGGCATGCTGGCCTTAGGGACAGTGATTCCGAAGGGACAGGTCCAGGGCCCAGCTCCTCACCCTGTCCGGGCTCCCTCCAGGGCTGGCCACTGCATCACCCAGGTCTTAGAAGAACCCTGGGAAGTTTGTGAGCAGCCTGCAGCCCCTGGGCGGGGGGCTGGCTGGTGCCCCGTGAAGTCAGACTGAAATCTGGCTCTGTTGGCGGCGAGGGAATTTTGTTAAAGCTGGTCTTTTTAATAGTATATTATTTCTCATTTATTTTTTTTTTAAACATAGGCATTTATCTCGTCTTTTATCTGGCAATCCTACTGCCTGAGGTTGAGACTGTTCGCGCTGACTCTTGCTGGCGGTGGCATGTCCCCTGGTGTGCTCTCTGACTTTGGGCTGTGAGCTTTACCGGAGAGGATGACAGGAGAGCCACCTGACGCTGTGCCCTCAGAGGAGCTGGCCACCTGACGCTGTGCCCTCAGAGGAGCCGGCCACCTGACGGTGTGCCCTCAGAGGAGCCGGCCTTGCCGCTGGGATGTTTAAGGGCCATGAAAGTTAACTTCTCCGCGCGTTTCCGTAGCCACCACACCCCGCGAGGACCGGGGGCCCTGGTTACAGATCTCAGGGAAGATCTTTTATTTTCTGTCTTAGAACCTGGAGAGGACAATTTCTTTCCCGTCTCCTTTTGCTGATGGTGGGAAATGTTTCGAATTCGCTGACTCTGAGGACAGCGCCTTTGTGTGGGAGTCTGGGTTCCGACAGGGTACTTTACAAAGGCCCCCGCACTGGTCTCCCGTCTCCGTCACCCCCGACCCCTTGGTCACTCAGACTGCAAGTCCGCAGGTGGCGATGCCTCGGTGTCAGCTGCCACTTTGGGTTTCGGCCGCGTCTTCATTTGGGGCGCTTCCTTTTTTCCACTTTGGCAGCTCTGTAGTGAAGAATTTTGTGATCGTTCAGAATTTCCAGTCCAGCGACCTCACCTGCGTGGTGGCTGCAGAGGGAATATAACGGCTTCCGCTCTGCGATGGCCGCGGCCGCATGTGCCCTCCCTGTCTTTCCAGCGGCGGGGGCCGCCTGTCACCGCCGCGCTGGCAGCGCTTAGCCCGGGGCTCTTTGTGTGCTCCTCACGGGGGGTTTGCAGTCGTTGCCTGCAGATGCCAGCGGCAGCTGCTGCTCGCCCAGGAATGCTGTCCCTTCTCTGCGCCTAGAGGTGCTGGGACCACGGTTCCTCCCAACGGAGCAGAGGCTGGAGTTCAGAGATTCCCTCTGACCTCGGGCCGAGGGCTGAGACAGTAAAAGGCTCCTGGCGTCACAGGCCGTGACAGTGAGACCAGGCCAGGAGACCCGGGAAGGGGCCGCCTCCACCTGGCGTCAAGTTTGCTACCTGAAGTTCCTTCCTGCCCGCTGGAAGGGCTGCCTGCCCCTGGGCAGGTGAGTCCAAACGTGGGACTTAGGGTTAGGAAGGTCACTAGTCTGGCCCGCTAAAGCCATCTGCTCCAACCCAGGCATCATCTGTGACTAGGTAATAATTTTGTATACATGTTCTCGAGTCCCTTTTGTCATATTTGTGAAGTGTTTGGGCCTTGGGCAAGAATAATGAGGGCGTCATTTCCTGCCCGCCCCCCATTTTGGATGCAAACAGCCTCAAAAAGCAATTAGCAAACTTAGTAGTATACTAAAAAAAAAAAAAAAAAAACAGGGTAAATTAGGGTTTAATTTAAAAAGGCAAGCATTTATTCAACCGCTCCAAAAATATGATCAGTTTTGCCGTGGTGTATCATACGCATTCCTAAAATTCAGGGTGCTATGCACAGTAAAAACCATGGGACTTATGAGGAAAGTGGGGCTGGGGTGGGACACTCGAAATATTTCAGTGACACATTGAAAATAGATAGGAACTTAATAAAAAGGGTAGCACAGTTGTACATGTTAATTTAAAAAAAACCTGCACAAATATTGCAAAAAAAATATGGCACTTTCTCTGAAAAGGCTTGAAGTTTGCTTGTGGAAGCAAACATCAGGAGGGCTGCAGCTTGTGAGGTGATGTGAGGTGGTCGGAAAGTCGTAACGCCCGGTGTGGGGGACGCAGATCGTGACGCAGCGGTCGCGAGGTGGCTGGGAGGTGCGGGCGCGCACGTGTGTTTGTGTATCCCACGCACCTCGGTCCGGCTGGCGCAGTGTTCTGTGTTCACCCAGCGTTTCTCATGGAGTCAGACCACGTGCAGAACTCACGTTATGTTCGAACTGTTCCCTACTTGTTCGGTAGCGTTAGAAAAGATCCGCATTTTCAAACCAAGCATCACGGCTGACAGGTAGTTGTGAAGGAGGCAGTCTCGACACTGTAGACTTAGCCGTGGGCCGTACGCTGTCTCTGCCCTCATGGGTGTGACATTGTAATGAGGGAAACAATAATTTCATATAATTTGTGTCCCCCCCATTCATATACTGAAACCTAACCCCCAAAGTGAGGGTATCAGGAGGTAGGGCTTTTGGGAGGTGATGAGGCCCTAAATAACGGTGGAGCCTTCATGAATGGGATCAGCACCCCGATAAATGAGAGCTCCCTCCCCGCTCCCATCATGTGAGGACAGCTATCTGTGAACCTGGAAGGGGGCCCTCACCAGACACTGGCTCTGCCAGCACCCTGACCTTGGACTTCCCGCCTCCAGAACTGTGAGAGAGAAATGTTTTTTGTTTAAGCCCCCGGTCTGTGGTGATGTTATAGCAGCTCTAACTGACTGAGACAGCAGGCCAGTCAGTGACGGGTCTGTGGAATTGTGTACTCCCAAAATTCACATGTTAAGTTCCTAGCCCTCTTTTAGGTTGATGTATTAGTTTCCTGGGGCTGCTGTTAACAAAGTCCCACAGACCGTGTGGCTTAAACAGAAAGGTATCGTCTCGCAGGCTGGAGGCCAGAAGTCCGAGATCGATGTGTTGGCAGCGCTGGTGGCTTCTGAGGCTGTGAAGGAGAACCCGTCCCCTGCCTCTCCCTCAGCTTCTCGTGATTTGCCAACAACCTTTAGTGTCCCTTGGCTGGTAGAAACACCTCCCTAATCTCTGCCTTCATCTTCATGGGGTGTTCTTTCTGTGTGCACGTGTGTGTCTGAAGTACCCCTTTTATATGGACGCTAGTCACATGGGATTGGGGACCCACCCTACTCCAGTAGGACCTCGATTGATTATATCTGCAATGACCCTAGTTCCAGATAAGGCCACATTCTGAGGTCCTAAGAGCTAGGGCTTCGACGTATGAATTTTGGGGGTTTACGATTCCACCTTAGTAGATGGTAAGGGAAGACGCTGAGTAAGTGACAGTTGAGCAAGAGACCTGACTGGAATGAGGTAGTGAGTCATGCGGATGACAGTGCCTGAAGGAACAGCATTCCAGGAAGAGAAAACAGCAAACGTGAAGGTTCTGAGATGGAGCTCAGACTGGCATGCTACAGGAACAGTAGGAAGGTCCTTGTTCCAGAAGGTACCAAGGAGAAGAGTGACGGGAGACGAGGTGAGAAACAGTGAGTCATCGATAGGACATCTATCAACGGGAAATCATGAAATTAACAAAATGAAAGGAGAAAAACATTATGAATCTATCAGAGACCAAAAAACCCAGCAGACGTTCCCAGTAAAAACTCTAAGGTATAAATAGACTAAAACTCCCTCTTAGGACAAAGAATACAGAGCAAAGGTATACATCGTATCAATGGTGCAAAGTAAAGGCCTTTCTGTTAGCCAGACATGGAGAGATGCCAGCTATTTTCAGCATTATTATTTTTGGAAAGTCTAGCTAACGCAATAAGATAAGAAAAGGAAATAAAGAGCATCCTCAATACCGTTTGCTAGTAAGATGCTCGTACGCCAGCCTTCCCCCAAATGAGGTATTTTCGAACTATGAGGGCTGAGTCAGCCATCTTTCATGCCCTAACCTCATAAACTCTGGGCTCACCTCTTTGTTCTGCTCATGACTCCAGCAGCCAGCTGGTTGTCCAGGCAGAGCCTGGCGGCCCCTTGCTTCAGCCACACGTCACGCCCCTTGCGTTCTTCCCTGGGCTCTCCACTGCGGCTGCTCGGGTTGCCGCTGGAGCTCACGCAGCCTAGTGGGCGCATGCGCACACCGGGAAGAGAGGGGGCGTGTTCAGGGCACCCCTGGAGCAGTGAGGGATGGGCGCCAGCCGGTACGTGCACCCCTCGCTCCTGTGCACTGGGACAATTCTGGGGTGTGTTCTACACTGTTCCCCAGAGTGCGCCTACAGCAGGGATCACTCGAGGATGCACTCTGGCATGGGGTCTCCCCCCTCCCCTGTTTCTCCTTTCCAGGGCCCCCATTCCTCGTCTCTGACGTCACTCCCCAAAATAAGCTTTTTGCTCACAAACCCATGTCACAGACTCTGCTTTTGGAGGGAACCCGAATTAAGAGAGTTAGTACCAGAAGTAGCCCTGGGCAGAGAACCTTAGGGTAGGATTCTAAGGTCACACACCCTTCGGACCCTGTCGTAAGGACCTTATGGCTGGTTGGGAGTGAGCTGGCGATGAGCTTTGAGCTGTGACAGTTGAGACTCACCAGGCACGGATCAGGATGTGGCACAGGTGGAGGGTGAAACACAGGTTTATATGGTATGTGTTGGGTGTGGGGGTCCTTCATGGGCACAGAGGCACTGAGGCAATGGTAATTACAAGGGCTGTGGGGTTGGCAGACTTTTGTTAATGGCTTTAGAAACCTCAGATAATAATGACAGGCTCGAATTAGCCAACCACCGATCTAAGTTAGGGCGCGATCGTCAACGGCCTCACGGCGACGTGGAGGGCCCCCATCTGTCCACACAGGCGGCTGCGGTGAAGGTGGGGTCCAGACCTATTCACATCCCGGAATAATGTTGGTTTTATTTCTCTTTTCAGCCATGTTTAATCTACTGTTTAACCTATCATGGGTGTTTTATATTAGTTAAAATAGTAAATTGTTATGTTTTTCATTTCCAGAAGATTTTTTTTCTTTGGAGTGAGGGAAATCTCTTTCAAATTGCTTGACCATACTTTATAGTCCCTTGTCTCTTGCTCATATTCCTAAGCTTCTTTTTAATTTCTCTAAACGTGTAAAACATAATTACTTTATATGTCTGATAATGTCAATATCTGAAGTTTTCTGGATGTGCTTTTGTTGCCTGTTGTTTCCAAAGGCTCTCGTTCAGAGTGATGTTTTTCCTTGTGCGTTCTGTGACTTTTTTCTGACAGAGAGTTGACTTCATTCCCTCAAAAGTTATCTTTGGGAAGTTGTAGAAACCTGGCTTGAACTTGCATTTCTCCAGAGGACATTTGCAGTTGCCGATTTTTAAATTTGCTTTTTTGCTTTTGTTACTTGGCAGTCGGAGAATAAGTCTCCTAAGTTTCCTCCAGTTAGAAATCAAGTCGTCTGTGGTGTTCAATGTACGGTTCATGTTACGTATTAAGGATGCTCTATGCACTGATTATGGAAAGGCGCGTCCTGGGTTTGGCCACAAACACCAACGTGCAAGTTGTATCCTGTTGACATTTAAACTTCCGCCAGCTCCAGGGCTGCACCAGGATGAGGGAGGGCCGGCGGTGCCCCCCACACAGGCACAGGCGCAGACAAAGTGTGGGTATCTCCGCTCGCAGCCAGGCCTGCAAGGCCACTGAAGTCCTAAGGCATCTGCCGGTGGCTAAGACAGAGGATGCAGGGGTTTTCTCAAGTGGACTTTCCCAGGACCGCTGTCCCCCCTCCCTCGGCCTTTCTCCCTAAAATCAGGGAACAGCAAGAAGGCTGTATAGCCGGAGAGAGACTGGTGGCAGGAGTCAGACCCGGAGGGCCCTCTTCATAGGGAGGGTGACCCCAGAGCCCCCTCGCCCCGGCTCTCCTGGTGCGAGCCTGCTGCTGGGTGGATGGGTAAGTACCTTTTGCCTGTCAGGAGCCAGCAGGTTTGGACAGTGAGTTTTGTGGTCACTCCTCTTAGGTCAGGAGGGCACAATGGAGGCAGGGTTTATGTGGGGGAGTGGAATGTGGTTTACATTTTATAAAGTTCCCTGGGCTCTGCTCAGCGACAAGGGGGGCTGGCGGGGGCCAGAGCGAAGGGATCGGCGCGAGAACCTCAGGCACGGAAGGGCTTCGGGAGTCACTTGGGACCCTCGGTCTGAAGCTCCCTCAGTTTCCCCCTTCCTGGGGCCTCCGCAGCTCAGCGCAGTCGGCCTGACCTTGAGCGAGGCCAGCCTGGCTTCCGGCCACGAGGCTGGATCAGCGAGGGTGGAGAAATGTACATTTCCCGGTTGACGTGGAAGGGATCAGGTTACCTTCTGGTCAGCAGACCGGAGGGGCTCCTCCCGGGAGGGCGAGCAGGGGGCAGGGACTGACGGAGGGGCCCCGGCTGGTGGTGCCGGAGAGAGGGTGGCATGGGAGGACGGCCGAGCCGGGCCTGGCAGCTCGGGCACCAACCGTTAGCGGGGTCTGGGGAGAGGGGAGGCCGGGGCGTAGAGCGAGGG